CATCGTTATACACCGATATCACGAGACAGTCTCGTAACGCCACTAAAGCCGGCATGCATCGCGGGAACTTTTGTCTTTCTGCGTACTCGACAACGTTTCGGCACGAGCAGTGCACGAGCTGTCTCGTGCACTGTCGCCTGCCTCCTGTGAACTACAGTTAAGTCGGCGTCACACATGCTTGAAGCGCTTTCTGGGTTGGGTCTATTAAAATAAAATATCAAAAAATAAGACGGAACATCCAATGACTTTTGTGTGAGAAAGGCAGACAATAAGGCAACGCGTTACTTGTATTTACCTACTTTTTTTTTTATGTAACAAAGTAACAAGTTGCTTACTTTTGAAGAGCAGGAATGCCTAACGTATTTCCGGCACGTTTTTTCTTCTTATAAAGTAATGAATAGGGGTATTTAGTTACTTGTGTAGCAATGCGTGCACAACACAACTTACTCAACCCGGTTCTTTCAGGGCAAAAAGTCGCTAGATGGGCTATACAAATAAATCTAGTAAGAAGTATTAATCTACAACCACAGTTAGGGCTGAACAGACGATTCAGCTATCGGCAAATGGTCATATTCTTTCGGATAATTCCCTTACGAACCGACAAAACCAGCTTTGTTCAGTTAACTTCTCGAGACGTACGCTTCTATTGTTTGTGTATCTGCCCAGTCTAGAGGCCTCCAGTAAGAATATTAGTCATTTCAAGGTGGTTAGGACAAGGTTAAGGACCTTTAGTTTGTGGCGAACCCAAGTAAAGCTGAGCTGTCAAATGCAGAAATTTGGGAACAGAGGAAACTAACACCAGCGCAAAGCTTTCCGATTGTGATTCTCTCCACTGATTACATGCTCCAAGAGTCCAGTCCCTACGTTCCAATTTTTCATTGTACTGTTTACCAAGTATTGTCAAGGTTGATCCCAGCAGAGGGTACCACGTGGACAGAATAAACGGAATTCAACCCCTCAGTGCACTCCGAATAAAGCTTGCGGAATACAGATAAAACGTAAAGCCACAAAAAAAAAAAAACTTTTATACAAATATAAAAGCAACTAGAGGACACAGCGGTCATCGCTTGCGGGCAGCAGCAGGAGGCATGATGCCCTTTTGGACGTGTTCGTCACTTCAGCTGTAAACGCTAACACGTCCATGGAAGAACGTTCGAGCCGAGGAATTCATTGGGTTAAAACAAGAAGAGGTATCTTGGCGTCAGCAACAAGCTAGCGTAAAGGGAGTACAGTTCGAAACGAACTGTAAACTCCCTTTAAAAGGGCAGTGCAACGCTTTTAATTTTGAAAGAATTGGCAGTTAGATTTTTTTATATTTTTTATGCAAGCCCAAGTGACCAAAAACGCGTTGCCTTTCCCCGAAAATCTGCTATTCTGGTGCGTAATCGCAAAAGTGAAAAACAAATTATTTGGTGATCTGCAGTCGTCTGTCGCCGTTAAGGTAACTAAAATGACAGCGTCTCTGGGGGATACGCGGAAGTCAACAAAACATATCCCCCTCCGCTGCTGCACTCGTCGATCGCTCGCCGTGAACTTCGACGATGCTAATCGTTTAAAAGTCGACAATCGCGGAGCGAGCGGCTGGGATCTCTGAAGACAGGGCCCAAGGGAAAACCACGTGAACCCCCAGAGAATGTCACTCGAAAGTTGACGTGAAGAGTTGAGAGGCACTTTGACCTTCAATTTGTTTTATTTTTGTTTTAAATAAGAATTAACGCTCGCAAGAAAATACGGCTTTCTGCTTTTCGTTTCGTAGCTGACGCAGATTAATTTTCGCAGTCAATTTTCCAAAGTCTGAAAATTGTTGCACTGCCCCTTTAAAGTGATTGTGTTCACACCAACTCCGCCCTCCGACGCCACGCCCCTGAGGCGGCGCTGCTTACGTCATGGCGCAAGTATAGACACCTCATCTAAACGAATCTTATTTCTGCGTAAGTGCATTGGCCACACCTAGTTTGGGCAAACGCTGGCTCGTTTTTAAACAACGTGTTGCCGTATTGACATCGCTTTAAGGCTGAGCTGCCGTGAGTCGACACAGTAGGTTTACAATTTTTGTATACATGTTTTAATAAGAAGAGTAAATTAAATATCAAACATTCATTACAAGGCATTGTAGTGGCACTGTTCGCAAGATATATAGCGCTATGGCTTGTTATTTTTTATGCGGCCGTCTCGGAGGTTAGCTTTTCCACTTCATGAAGCTCAAATTTGAAGGATTCATCAGTCATGGGAATCGGGCCGGCCATCGATGAATCCTAGAAATAAAAACAAAGTGTGTTTGATAACTTTTTTTTTCCATTTATGCAAACGAGTCTGATATATCCCAGAGGGAAAATAAACACACGGGAAATAAGCTCACAGCAAAATCGTGGGATGCGGAGAAAAGCTCACCAGCCTTTTTATGGATCTTGAAGAAAGCTGTCCAACGAATTTGTGAGTCAAGGGTTTTCTATAAACTGAAAATGTTCGCTCATCCGAAGCCTGCGTATATGCCTTATGTGCATGTGGTTATTCGCCAGATCACAATGAGGTGTTTGTTTTAGGTGTTCCTCATACGCACGCTGGACGGTACGACAAGAATGAAATAGGAATCTTCATAGAAGGGTAATTAAAAGTTCGTCGAGATAAAATATCAGCGTAATTGAATGCAGCTTGAGTGGTCGCTGGATATTTACAGATTGCATTACCTTTCTCGTGGCAGCAGGCGCTGCATAAGCTACACAAAATGTTCACATTTTATTAGTTGTCTAAAAAGGATAACTTTGATTTTAAGTCTTTCTACGTGGGAAAGAGAGAAAGCTAATATTGCCTCCAATAAGGCTACGCCAAAGTTTAATAAGGCAACCTTCGCAAGTAAACCGGGGTAATGAAGGCAGAACGAAGGCTGGAGTGGAGTGGCCTGCTTTGAACTGCGAAGTGGATCCGCTTGTTTTCATCATCAAACGCGCGTAAAATTGCATTGGATCTTTAAGCAACCACGTTGGTAGCTGCGCTACGAACGCGGTTCAACAGCCAGTGTGATACGGCGCTAGGTTTGATTGCACTAGTTATCTAAAATTATTACGACCAAGTTGCATAAAACTGAGCTCAAGGTGAGCTTTTCTCCCGGTCTGTCAAAGGCCTGGTGAGCATTTTTCCGGACGAGCCAAACATTTGGTAGAGATTTTCTTCGTTTAGCTTCTTTCAGTGAGATTTCCTCCGTTATCTCTTTGTGGTGCGAAATTTTGATTAGAAAATTCGTAGGAAACGAGACAGGACGTGAAATGTCAACCAAATGCTCTAAACTGAATCTAAGTGGTCCAAAGGTGCCAGTGATGCCAATCTCTCCATGCTCTCGCCGGCGGTTTTGCTTGCGGAGCACGCGCAGAGTGAAGGCATTCACATCACTGTTCCTTTGGTTTCATTTTGAAGCCGTGTGAAGTGATTATATAGCTTGCCCTGTACTGCCCGCTACGAATTTTTATTTCGAAGTTGTTGGCACGGCTACACTATTAAAATGCCGGGCGTTACTTTTGAAAATAAAGTATACCCTTAAAAAAGAAAAAAAAAAGAAATGTACTAATTAGAACCTTGTATTTTAATTCATTTTGCTTCGTTTGAAGTGGCCGCCCAGGCCACCAACGTTGCCGCAGTGGTAAAACAAGCCTAATGCAAAATAACTTACAAGGAGTCTGGATCCTCTGAAGAACCACAAACACACGTATAATTTCAAAGTATGAGTAGAATCTGAGCTAAAACGTTGAACACTTAACGTTACTCTGGCACCTAAAACGTGAGGTCACTTTAAGGAGGCAGCTATATATTCCCTTCATTTATGAAAAAGTTTACATAGTACTTATCAAATGATAAAACGTTGGTAAGCCGGCCATGAGAAAAACAATATTTTAAGTGACCGTGTCCCTCTGCTGGGTATCCTTATTACCGATCGTATGTACGACCAATACTCAACTCCGCCTTGTTGTTCAGCATTTTCTACTGGGTTTAAAAATGTGTGAATCATTTTTCTGGTACGTGTTCTCCATTAGTATCGAACGATTTCCCACTTTTTTCTCTTCGGTGTTTGTATGCAGGATTTAATCCTTATTCGCTCTTGAAACAGGACTTCACCTGTGGGATTCACGGAACTTCGTACATATAATAATAAATATTTTACGTTGTCTTTACATGATTTTCAGAGAAAAAATATTCTAAATGTGAAGATACATGCACCATAAAGCGTTGCATAGATCAACAGCTTGTTTCGCTCTCACATAGACTTCAAAAAAAAAAAAGGAACTCTTGTCTCGGAACCTTCTACCATCAAATTCTTATATCTTACGCCGGTTGAGTCTATTCCTATGTATCTACACAAATGTGTTTAGGAGCGACTGAGGATAGTTATTCAACAAGATACGTGATATAAAGATATAATTCCTTTGGCACAATGTTAGCGGCCTCGGCGGACTTCAGACAGCGAGCGCGAAGTGATAATTAGTCCCTCCCCCCAAAAAAATTAATTAATAAAGAAAAAGGCACTATCTACAGTCCAGTCATTAATATTTTTGTGTATTAGACTAGCTGCCACACTCCAATTAAAAATGTTTCACCACTCTGCAAAATAGGCCTTAGTTGCAGTTATAATTAGACAACTAAATATTCTGTTCTGCGTGAGTTCAGGTGAAAACATTTGAGAAATGCCAAGCTGTAGATCATAAATGTGAATTTAATTTGAGCTGCTGCTATACATAGGTGCTTACGAGGAAGATGATTGTAGCAGAGACGCGATTTAGTGCAAAATGCATTACAACTAAGATATTGTAGATGCAACATCATTTTCCGGAATCAAACCACTAAAGCATTTGCTCAGTCCACGTCCAAGTCAGTATTGTTTGAGTGCACACATATTCAGAGTGTGGGATTATAAATTAAGTTTTAAAATGACAAATTTTAGCTTCGTGTTTAGGAGCCCCATTCTGTCCGGCAATATATTTAGAAAAAACAAACATCTAGCACTCGTTTAACTATAAAATCTAGCACAGAAAAAGTGAATGAAGATATATGTAGTACGCTAAATGACATCGTCGTGTGTACACTCACAACCAGAGGTTGCTTCAAGAAAGAATTATAAAATACATATAGACTCACTATAAGGTCTTCCTCTTTGGGAATGAGCCTTAACTTTCTCCACAAGCGAAGGCAGACATCACTTGTCAAACACAGTCGTTTTTTGTATGTTTTGTGTCCACCTGATTTGAAATAAAATGGATTTAATTATGTTTATTTTCTAAAAGCGCGAAGCGCCACTGAGAACAATACTACATGAAACTCTCCGGTGTTGAAAAGGTTTTAATGAGAGGGTGTAAAACGTTTTGAGTAAATCAATAATTATTGTATCTTAAAATAATGAAAAATGAACTCATTACTGATTTATGCGTGCAGTAAATATGTTTGAAACATAAATATTTCGCACGTAAATGGCACTTTTTATCACAGGGGCCTAAGAGTGACTTCCAAAACTACTAAGATATATATCGTGCAATTTGACAAATTCATATACATTGAAATTATAAATAAAAACTTCTTATCACAGAAGTTCAAACGAGCAGTTAGTAGCCCTTTGGTAACGCGTTTACAAATGCGCATATTTTTAAAGAAACGCGGTCCGAAAACACTGTAACTTTCACAAATATTATGCTGTTCGCAGCTTCTCGGCCGGCGAAAAAAAACACTGGCCAAGAGCTATCGAATTAGTTTCATGGGCTATGACCGCATGGTACGTCAAATATTTGAATAGTAACATGAGGTTCTTTAGCGTCATTTTGTTTAACACAAATATTTAAATTTCATAAAGAGTAAAATTTATAAAAATACTAGAATTACGTCAATTAAGAAACAAAATGATGTAATTTCCCACGAAAGTTAACAAAGACCCGTGACTTCTAGATCCTTTTAGGACACATTCTTCTATGCTGATTTTCGGGATTTAGTGTCGCTTTTGTTGTTTATAGCTCCCATATGACGCCGAAACAAAACGTTAATGCGGAGCGCAAGTTCACCTGCTACTTGCGCAGGGGTTGCACTCATTTCAGAACGCCGAGCTTCCTCTGGCGGATTGAAAAACACAGTGTGTAGACCTCAGTGTATTTAGCATTGAAGTCTACCTACTATCCTTTCAATCAAAACCAATCAAAGTTCGGCGTCGCTCTGACGTCTTTGCAATCCCTACGCAGGAAGCAGACGACTTGCTCCCCGCATTGAGTTGATCCTTGATAACATACTTGAGAGTTGAGAAAAAGCGAAAAAAATTAATCTCGGATGTCAGTGTCCCTTAAAAGGTGGGATTTGTTGGTAAGTAATCCCGAGGAAGTATTGCCTGTGTAAAGTTTGGAAATATTTGGCCTTGCCTTCCCAATTATCACAGTTTTATAATTATCAAAAGGTAGTTTTGTACCAAAACATTTTATTCGAGTAGAGCACAATTCGTTATTGAACTAAAATCTCTAATTATGAGGGCCTTAAAAGTTACAACTTAGTTAATACTGAGATATATATGGAACTTGCGAGGATGTGCTTTTTGCCTTGATAAAGTTATGGAGGTAAAAACATGTTTGTGGTTTCGTTATGCAGATTAGGTTGTATACGGAAATTGAATTATTCTACATGGACAACTAATCGCAGACAAACGTTTCGTGTAATGAAATTCACTGTAGCTAACATTAATACATGAGTGCAAATTAATATATTACAAATTGAATTTATATAAGTCCGCATATTTTTTTTCTATTTATACTACTGTTTCTTTTTTGTTTTGGTTGTGCTGATTTGCGACTCTGCGAGTGATTGTTGCAAAGTTTACCTTAACGCAATACAAGACGAGAAAAAATAATATTTTACCTGTTAGCCCGCTGATCACCAAGGCCAGTAGGATGGTCAGAACAGCGCTTATGGAATTGCTCCAGTAGGATGACAAGCGTGACAAAATAAAGACATCGTCGAACCTGTGCATAATATAAGCAAGTGGAGCATTCAATATCTTACGAAATAGCGTCATTTAATAGGTTTGATGGCCGAATAGCTAAATTTTTTTAAGAGAATGAATATGCGAATGATATTTTGTTGTAGACAGCATTATAAAAGTTAGAAGGCACATGCATTTTTTTATTTTTTCTACGGCTAGCATATTTACTGATTTACAAACTTAAGACAAATTTGTTACTGGCGTGCGCAGATCCGCGAGTGAGTGAACATTTTATCATATTTGTTTGAACAGACCTCCTGTGTCAGGCAGCAGGATCAATATTCGCAAGGACGTTTCTAACTGCTGCCTATTCAATAAGCTAGTTGAATCCGTTAATGTCTGCGATATGTGACATGAGTGTAAATGTTTTAGGTCTATTTGCTAAACGTGCCGATCGTCTGGAAGAAAATGTTTTCTAGATTAAGCCTAAAGGCATTCAATTGCATTCGTATGAGAACTCATATTTTGACACCCAATCACCACTCTCTCGGTTGTACCACAAGTTAGCTCCGACCGAGGAAGTTCATTCTTTTTTACCGCGGTTAAAGCGAGTTGAAATTGCACCATAGAAATAGAAACCAACAACTGAGAATATTTTTCAGAAGTCTTATTAGTAGGTGCGGCGCATATTCAGGTTGTAATTCAAATGTAACAACAATCGATCTAATAAGTTCATTTGGCTTTCGACTTTCAGGTTTCTAATATACGAGCTTTCGAATAACTTGACACCTTGAATTCTGCTATAAAACTCCGAGTTATTCAAGACGCTGTCATATGGTGACGAAGTCCTCACAGGACTCGTCTAGATATGAATCAAGCCTGCATTAAGATATCTTTACTGACCTACCATTTCTATAAAATGTAGCTCGTTTTTGTGTTTCTCGCATGATGCAGCCGCGCTCGAGCACCTCCCGGTAGCACAGTTCTTTGGGCCGAAACGTGGTTCTTGTGTGAGAATTTAGAGCCCTAAAGTACGAAGAAGCCAGAGTGTAGAGTGTTTTCGCATGACGTCAATCAACGATTGTCTCCTTAGAGTGAGTGTTTGAGAACATGTTTTATTTATTATCAGAAAAGAAAAAGGGGCGTAATGAAACTTATGAGCTTTTGTGCTATCGACTTGAGTATATCATGTAAATATTTTAAATACTCCCTTTTAGTGTGTCATGTAAATCTTCTGAATTATCGCAGCCGAATGCGCATGACATCAAAATCGTAGTCAAAAGTACGTCAGTAAAAACAAGCTATTACCGGACTTGATATTCTTTTGACAGTGTCTTGATAATATGGGCCCGTTTGCTCGAAGCGCGGTTAAGCGCTGACCGCGGCTAAAGTTGGCGGCAGTATCTAGAAGAGGTATTTTAAAATCACGTTAATAAGGCTCGGTAAGGATGCGGGAAAACATGGTGGTGCACCGGTGAGTGAGCGCCGCTAGCTTTGGAACTGATATGTCGTTGTAGCTGGAATATCGGGCGCATTAGTCAGGAACGAATGGCGCAGGAGGCTTTCGCTTTGCCTTACCTCACTGAAATCGCAAAGCATAGGTAATATCCACCACATATTTTAGATAGTCTTTCGATTCTGGCCATTTCTAAGCCTAAATGAACGCAATAGTTGTCGGAATGGCAACGTCTTTGGAAAGTGGATTGGCTTGACTCAATCGGCCGTTTACTGATAGCACACAAAAGCAGACAGCGTCCCGATAGACTCTTTTCTAAATTTTCCAAACACCAAGGTGCATGCTACGAGTGTAGTTACACGCGTTGCACGTGCTGGTCTCTGCAGTAGTAATTGTTCTCAAGCAAAAAATCTAAAACAAATTTCGCCTTGCACGCGCGTTCGTAAAATCCTTATTTTGATTATTTACATCGAATCTTTTATAAGGGGAAGGCCAGCGTGCGCGGACCATAGAATTACATTTCCAGCGTTCTCCACGATGCTTGCGTAATTTACTAATAGGTCTATTTTCACTGGAGCCGAATTACAGGTTCTCCAATTCATGATGGTGTTAAATACAGTTCTTACATGCTGGTCAACCATGCTGCCGGTGTACCGCCCGCCTTTCACTGCTCACTTCTTCCCATATCGTTTGTAGGACTGAACTTCCTCGTCCTTTTTCGAACTTGAAAAGAAATTTTAACGAGGCTTGCCTTCAATTTAGACAACCAAGCATTTAGAAATTTTGAAAACAGGGGTGAATATAGTTTTACCTTACCCAATATATGGACCACGAGTCACAAAAAATAGGTCTGCTCAAATATATGCCGCGCTGCGTCGCGAGAGCCCGCTGGCGCGTGTTGTTGGGTCCCCCCCCCCCCCCCCGCCCTTTTTTGAGAACTTTTTTCTATGGAAGCCGCTTATATTTGCTACAACCAGTAGGTGACACCAGCTATCACCCCATAATACAACACGAAGTTATTGCTCATCCAGCCCTCTTCACACTTGGCTAGCTACTTGTAGGTACCTAGTAGGGAAAGGCGATTAACTTTTAACCACGGTTAAAGTTAACCGGCTTCGAGCAGACAGGCCCTGAACACAAATACCAATGCGATCGCGAACGTGGAAACTGCATACGCCGCAGCTATTTGGTCAAACGAAACGACGGGGCCATGTGTGGCTTCCCGCCTCCCTACCGAGCCAGTCACGTGATTTCAAAATCCCTCTCCTTGGTACTGCGGCAAACTTTAGCCGCGGTTAGCGCTTAACCGCGCTTCGAGCACACAGGCCCTGGTCTTAAATCGCTAAACGAGCGCCAAAGTTAGGCTTCAGTTCCCCGTTGTTCGGTTGTGGCCTGATTTCGTTGGGCGTCAGTTCCCAAGCAAATTTAAGAATTAGCCTTTGCAGCTGGTTGTTAGTTTCTAGCTCGGCATATATGATCCTAAAGTGTCAGACAAATACCGGGCGTAGGCTTCACTGATCAGTTATTTGGTCGTCGTCTGGCATCTTTGGGGCTCAATTTCCGAGTAAATGCCAGTTCGAGACCTTACCACCGGTTGTTCGATTGCCAGCTAGCATCTTAGAATAACGTATAGACTGTGACACTCATGTTGCGAACCACAGCAAAGTCGTGCTGTCACTTCTGTGCCTTGTTTTATTCAAAGCATAGTTTCGTGGGCCTGATGTCGCCCTAAAACAAAAACCCCTCAGGCCCAACTTGGGCCTCCCAGATTTCCAAACTCGGGTCAAGTTAGGATTTTATCTGTCGTGCTGGCTGGGCTTTGGTCCACTTAACTAAATGCCGGAAACGACGTATGTGACCATTTTTTATTAAAGTCCTTTGTGTCACGGAGCGCCAGCTTTTCGCGCCACAAAACGGTTGTTGCATCCATACCATGCCAATCAATCAAGCACATTTAAATATCCCAGGACCGCCATGGAACTAAATTGCAAACTGCCAACGACAATGCTCTAATCATCTGCTCGCCGCTTGGTCGGCTCGTTAGACTTAGGCTACGTCTCCTCAATGCCTATGGTCTACTTCTTCGGCCTGCTATCACTGCTGGCATTCGATACGATCGGTGCAGCAAACGAAATTGAGATAATAATAATAATATAATAATATCTTTAATACGTACGCGCATTCTCATCACAACGGGAGGCAGCGAACGTGCGTGGGAAGTAGGGCTTCTACGGCTTTCTTAACCTCTCGGCGTTCATGCCTACGGCGCGCTATGGCGACTCGCTCTAAACGACACTCCCGGCTCTGTGTTTAGAGCGTCCGCTACACATCGACATCCTACTGGCCGGGCAGGTATTGGGCTCATAACCTTATCTGTTCGAAACCGATTCAATAGGCGCCGCCATATAAATATGAGGCAGGCCACCGCATTGCCACGTTAATACCATGAAAACGCGGTTGTTTTCCCCAGATTTATATAGCGGCGCTTATTAACTTAGTTTTCCTCATATAACAGTGAGTGCGAAGGCCAGCTGCTTATAATTAATCATAATTTAACATCTGAGACGGTGTGCGGCAGGTTGCACAAAATATCTTTCTCATTGAAAGAGTTCCGCCCTACATGCCTATGTATCTGTACGTTGCCGTTGTCGACATTATGAAACCACGCGTGATTGACTGGACATATTTTTCATCTTCGTCTCATCAAGTTTGCTGTGGTCAAATAATCATTAACGCCGTTTTTTACGTGCTAACCACTGTTCGTTCAGAGTGCTCTCATCAGAATAAACCCAAGACTAGCTTCTTTTTTAGTTCAAGCGGTTTTTGTTCTGTTTTTGAGGATGCCAAATAAAGAAATTGTTACTATTCAATATTCCCGCGCGCGCAGCTGACCACGTAGGCAGCGCGCCCGTGGCCTAACGGTTTTCGAGGTTGGTTCCCGTGCGCACAAAGGGCCACGGTTCGCTCCCTGGCACCGGACGTACATTTTTATTATATCTGTAACTCTCGCATTCTAACAAATTCGAGAACTTTGTTGCGTATTATAAGTCCAAATTTTCTAAGCGCTGAATGTTTTACTCCGAATGCTCCAGAAGCCCACGCGTGTACATAAGGGGCTCCGCGTGGCGAACCAGAGTCACTCTTTCGCCAGCGTTTGATCCCGCCACTTCGACGTTATCCTCGCTCGCCTTCGACGCCTTTTATTACTCTTTTCTTTCGGCACAAGTTCGACTTATTAAACGTTTAGTTTCTTCTTAAGTCCCCGTCTCGCAAATCCATCGGTGGCGTACTGGTGGAGATGCTGGGTAGCGCATGTTCGCACAGCGTACCCCTCCGAGGGCCCAACGCGCAAGCCCGACCTTGAATCCACGAGGAGGGCTAGTGGAGGAACCCGAGATCCGGGCAAACCGCCGTCACCAGGGCGAGTCTCCAGAGTTCGAACTACTGCCGGACCCTCGGCGAAAGAAGTCAGCGAACCCAGCGATAACTACTCCGCGCCAGCAAAACGACACCGCCGCCGACGCCCCCTCGTGTACTTTCCCGTCGCTCCTCGATCACCGACACCCTTCCATGGCGAAATGTATGAAGCCGTCGAAGATAGGATCCTTCACTTCGAGAGCGTGGCCCGCCACAACGGATGGAACGCTGGGCAGCACTTCCAGAACCTCTACTTCTCGCTGGAAGGCACCGCAAGGCACTGCTTCGAGAACCACGAGGCTCGCTCGCTTCTCGACGGAACGCGTCCATCTGCAAAACGCCAGCTACGACCCGAGGTGGCGGACGTCGTCCGGCTCAAGCCCTATTACCAGCGATAGAATTTTGCACTCTCGTCAAAGAGTGAACTGTGAGCTGTGGCCCGCAATTCTGCTGTCCTTTTGTTGTGGATTTGTGTTTTCGTTTTGTGCTGCATAGGGACGATGCATGTTTTTTTAATGGCGGGAATAATGCCGCGGGCGCAGCCGACCAAGTAGGCAGCGCGCCCGTGGCCTAACGGTTACCAAGCTTGGTTTTCACGCAAAGGGCCACGGTTTGACTCCTGGCAGCAGACGTACGAGACGGACGTAAATTATCTGTGTATCTCCCGCATTATAGAAAATTCGAAAGCCTTGCTGCGTATTCGAGGTCCGAATGTTCTAGGCGCCGACTGTTTTAGAATCCCACACGTCTACATAAGGTGCTCCGCGTGGTGAGCCGGAGTCAGTATTTCGCCAGCGTTTGATCCCGCCACGTCACCGTCATCGTAGCTCGCCTTCGACGCCTGTTATTACTCTGTTTCTTTAGCACAAGTTCGCCTTAATAAACGTTTAGTCTCTTTGTCAGTCCCCGTCTCGCCAATCCATCGCGGACAATATTCGATTCTATATGATACTTTTTTAGCTATTCGCTTCGATTTCAATGGGAGCCATGATTTCACTCTTCGCACACCTAATCATTAGTCGTCGGCGAAACACCCGGCATATGGGATATAACATATTAATTACTCCCTTCAATGCTCATGTTATAATTGCAACATTGAACGCAGCCAACAGATCTAAACTATAATTTATTTTTTGAATTAACAGAAGCGCTATGTACTTCAAGCTATTTAAAATTTTTGCTTGTTTTCATAAATCCTGATTTTAAGCGGGGACAGAAACATATGCTTTTAGTAAATAAGCAGACGATGGCGCACTAGTTATTTAGGATACTTCGTCTAGGAAGGGCGTAGAGAGCACGCTTTATTCTGCGTCATACCCAAAAAGGAAAAAAAAAGTGATATTTCTACGTGCATACTACTTGATTTGTCACATTTGCACCTATCATTCAATGATTCCTATCGCTACTATATCACCATCTAGGCACAATCGTACTGAAAACTGCAAGTGATCGTTTGGTGCCCCGCCTTGAAATCGGGAAGCCCGAAACCAAAATACGTATTGACATAAACCCTTAAGCAAGTGTGTTAAGAATGCTTCCTGAAGACAGTACGTGGCCGAACCTCATGCGACCGTTGGAAGCTAATGGCTGCGAAGCGCTGGAATGATAAGCATTAATCTTTTGTAAATCAACTTACTGGTTGTGACGCTCATCCAAATGCTCATTCTGATTGTGACGCTCATCCTAACGCAGTAAAACTTTGCAGTGAGTATTACACCAAATATAAGGTAAATCACTAAAGACTAATTTTGAAAAGAGACGAATTACATTAAACATTATTATTTTCCCAAATAGGCCCTTTGAAAAACGCTAATACTACAATATATATTTTTTTTCTGCGCGATGTGTGTTTGACGGAACAATTTAGCCAGCGTTCAACGAACAATTTGTATTTAATCATAAAATACAACTAACATTTTATAAATCCGGCAAAATATCGATTGTGATCCTCACGTTCTTTCCGCCTGGAAGGAAGCCTTGGTATTCGCGTTAATTGCTTCTGTAATATTTCCTGAACAATAATCAGTGGTGACAGGCATTCGGGATGGACGAATTCCTAGGCGGAATTTCTCGCTCATGTGCCACAACTGGAAGATCGTCGTCAGGAGTGTGGCTGCTCCGGCTCCCTGTAATTGGACAGAGCGGTGCTTCAGAAATCTATTATGAAAGCGTTACAGTACCTTTTTGCCAAACTAGGGAAAAACCGAACGTTGGTTTCTTGAAAATACAGTTTCTAAAAGAGCGTGTAGCATTTCATGGCTCCTACGAATGATGAAATAGGTTTTTGAAATTATAGCCTGAATAAAATTGATGTGGAACACTTCTTTTTTTGTTTCCGGGAATTCGGGTATGTGACTGGGAGAAAATAGCAATTCATAGTCAAGCTTTTGTGACCACATCAGAGCAAAAGAACGGGGACACCTATCTTTATTCAGGGGGTCAGCGGCGTACAACAGCAATAGCGACTACATACGCAACTCTGAAGACGTAAGTGGAGCTGGGAATGGAGTGAAGCTTGGCAGACAGACGTGCGTAGTGTGACGTTTATTTTTTCACCATATCTTTCGCCAGTGGAAAAGGATCGTTAGAGACCGCAAGATCCCGTGAAAACATCTTGAATTGTTAGGTGCTTCCTATCAACACATCAGCGTTAATGGACAGCACCTTATAATAACACCATGTGCGGTGGCCAAGCCTGTGATCCTCTGTAAGCCAGAAGATTGATTTTACATCTCCATCCTTTAGAATCTAGAAACTATCCATTCTCAAGAGGCACATTTCCTAGGTCGTAAACCTGAAACAACGCCTGAGTGACTATATTTTCCATGGAAAAGTGAAGAAATCTTTGAAACATGCTCCAGGAATAACTATGATCAGAAAGCAAGTTGGCCTAAAATTATCTGTACAAGAAAAAATGAACATTTCAAGGGTTTTTATCAATTAAGCGAATCTGCGAGCGTTATACGTCAAGACAACTTGATGTTTTTTATTTAGCCGTTGGGTTTAAGCGTTCTCTAGATTGCATTAATTGGTCATATGCTTGCTGTGAAAGGAACTACACGCCCGGAATTGGCGGTTGTTTAATCACCTTGGAATGATCGAAGAATGCAGCACACGACAACTTACTCTAACAAGTATCTTCTGACATTCCGTTTTTGCTGGTAGGGCGTTTTCAGATACGATCGAGCAACCATGATCGGCAAGCATTTTTAGTTTTGATGAAAAAAAAATATTTTGCTGGCTTTATTCCTAGGAGAAAAAAAAAACAATTATTGTTTTCGAAAAAAAAAATTGTGTTTGCGAAAGAAATTTGTAAGCACTCTCTCAGTCACGTGCGCGTTTTGCGTATAGCGCGATGTTGACACTTTGGGCGGCTTCCCTAAAAAAGCTGTTTTGTTGAGGGGTCTACAAATATTCACTGACAAATTTGGCATAAGAAGGATTGACAAAAAGTATAATTAACCAAGTATTAGGGTAGTAATTTTGAAAAAAAAAAATTGCAAACACGGCACATTGCGCAGTAACGCTCTGGATTAAAGAATATGTTTTTCTGTGTCTATAAAAGCTAAGGTCCTAAAACTTTGCCAGTGTGTTCCCCTGTATAAAATTAATCTTCGCATGAAATATTGTTGTCCTGCTTAGCGGGAGAAATTTACGAGAATCGCTCACACAGGGGCATTTAAGTAAAAGTGCAATATTTTGAAAATCACTTCAAAAGAGGCCATTTTTAATAGTCTTTAAACTCTCTGAAATTAATGCTTATAATATGTACTCAAAGAGTCTGCAAAAACATAATGCAATATTTGTGTTGCTTTTAAGTTATAAAGCGAGAAACATGGTCAAAGCGACGCGAACGCGGGTGCCATAAATGGGGCGTGCACATACCCGTTCTTCACAATTTTATTATTATTGAAAAGCGTAAAAATGCTACGGGGCGGTCAGGAAAATAGGAATTGACAGCGCAGAGGTGGACGGTAGTTTTTCAGGGAAAAGTTCTAATACAATTTTGTACAACCGACCCAAAAATGCCCATAGGCCGGAGCGATCGAGGTGCGCCACCCTGTAACATGCTTCGCGGTGCCTGTTTCAACAGCCGGCGTGTAGCGTCTCCGTCTCCGCGACGTACAGGAAGTAGCCGGAACGAATTTGCAAACAGATCAACCTACAACCTTAACGGTAACATGATATAGGATGTAGGGCACGGCAGAACCTGAGCCTACGCCGCCTGTGAGCGCCGATAGATCCGCCGCCGTGGAGGGCCGCACAACGCGTGAAAAAAAAAGATGCATAAAAAAACGAAAAAAGAATGGTGACTGAATGAGATGGTCTGTAACTTAATTTATGCGGAGGGCAAGTTCGTCTGCTTCTAGCGCAGGGGGTAGCGGTGACGTCAGAACGCCGAGCCCTGATTGGCTGATCGCGCCCCCCTATCTGAGCGTTGTCTGCTCCTTTGCAACGTCGTCTGCGTCTGTCTTACGTTTCCTGCGACTTTCGGAAGTGCAGAGGCCAGATTCACGAAACGATCTTACGCCAAAAATGTGCGTAAGACAAAGCTTAAGAACAAATTTGTATTCGCGAAACGAAATTTTCTTAAGTTTTGCGCAGGTTACGGCGAAATCCTACGGCAGCTCCGAAGCTCTCTTACGCACTTCTTACAATCAACTCAGCACGGCCGACAGCGTCGCAGTCGCGACGACCCACGGACGTTTATTTTTCTACGTGAGCTTCTGATGCGTCCTGACTTCAAGCAGCAAGAAAAAAGTAAAAATTACTTGAAACAGAGCACGACAAACAAGAAGGCTGGATCCACAAACACCGGAGAAAAGCTCCAACGGCCTCGATTCCACCGAACGCGACCAAACGAGCTGGGCAGTTAGGCCTAGCAGGCACTCCGCGACTCGGCGAACGTCTGCCCACGACCGGCTGACGTGCTGAATGGAATATGCCCGCGCGACCCTTGTGAACCCTTCCCGTGTTATACTTTGATCGCTGACCTCAATTTTAGATTAAGAGGTCAATTTCTTCCTCTTGTTATCTCCTTGTTTCCCGAGGCAACGGTGACTCTCACCGGTGAAAAAGCGGTGAATCTCCGACAGACGCAGGAAAGGTAAAGCAGCCATCGCTTTGACTAGCAGACGTAAAGCAGGCGACGTTAACTGCGCCAACCCGCCGGCGCCGTCAAAGAGTGAGGGGTCTCGCCGCACAGGAATGGAGGGAAAAAGTATTTGGGAGGGAACTTACGGACACTAACACGCTCACTCTCGGTTCTAAGTAAACAAACCTCGGCGCCCCGGGACACCTCGCCAGTGAGTCCTTTGACTTCCCTCCTTGATGCGCGTCTGCTAGTTGTTAGACAAAAACAACGTACCGCTCGAGGTATTTCGTCTGCCCTCCTGTAAAGGCGAAGTCGAGTTCGCTCCGAAAGTCGCACGAAAGGTAAGAGAGACGCAGACGATGTTGCAAGCAGACGACGTTGCAAAGGAGCAGACGACGCTCAGATAGGGGGTCGCGATCAACCAATCAGGACTCGGCGTTCTTACGTCACCGCTACTTCCTTTCTCATGCGCAGAATACGAAAACGAGACCACTTGCGAGGCGTATAAGAAAACGGTTTGCAGAATCGTGAAATTCAATTGGGGTATGCTCATGTGACCCACGTAAGTGATGGTGTAACAAGCCATTTTAAGAACAAGTACCAACCACACGAAGTGCAGAGTCACAACTTCACGTCAACGAGGTGTATTTGTTCCGCAGATTGACATGGCAACAGTGCCTGCGATTGACTCAAGGGTCGTGCCAAGCACCAGACAACGTCGTACAGCCTCGACGGCCCACCAAGTCGGCGATCAAGTCGGCGTCAGAGATGGTTGCCCCACTGAACACTGAACTGCCGAACCTGGAACTAATCCACGTCCCGAAAGCTGACGTCAAAGCGTTCAGGGACATGAAAGCAAAGGATTGGGACTCTTTTTCCGTTGTGTGTGGAATTCAGTCCTGTCACTTGTGGCAGTCCACGCGGTCCGACACTTAGCAACCACAGCTGTTGTAGCAAGAACAATAGCCACAGCAAAGATATATCTTTAAAAGTAAAGTCTCCTATGGCTGCGTAAAGCAGATCGATGTCTTGAGCTTGCGGTGCCACTGAGAAGAAACGAACAGTAATCTCTACAGGCAAAACGGGGAAAAACATGTTCTTCCTCGGAGTGCCAGGAGAGCACCGTGACCAACTAAGGTCAGCGTCCGGCAGAAAGAATTCACGCGACAAGCTCCGAATGTGCGCACGGGCTCTTGATTAATTACGCGTGTTTTTCCTGATCACTATTTAAACCTGGTATTCAGCAGCCCAGCCTCTTCGAAATTCACCGATCCGAGAAATCTGTATTTACATTGTTGACTTGTGCTTCAAAGTCACCTGTAACCTTTTATATGAATTCTTATTTTTCACGAGCTCCTGTAGCAGTGCGTTATCGTCACAGACTTCCTACATTTTCCGACCCCTTGCTTGCCCTTATTTGAAATCGGCAACGTCCTATCTTTCTCTACTACCGTTACAGCAATTCTCTATATTTAAAACCCTGTAAAAAAAAAGAAGAAATATTGCAAAGCATTCTTGAAGGGTTTGATAGGACCAATTATGACCCTTGATCTGGAAAAAGTAGAAGAAAAATTACGATGACCTTCTTTTTAAACTGATTTTCTAATTATTGGGAAATCAGTAACCTGAATAAATTTCAGTGTATTTTTTTAGAAAGGTTATCGTTTTTGATTTCAATCACAATTTATGCGAATTAGAACAGACGCGTCCAAATCATTAAAAAAAATTTCATTTACAGTCTTAAGATCAGGATTCATAAAGCTCTAAATTGCTTCGTAATCGATAATGCATGTTTACCTCTTTTCATTTTATGTGCAGTCTCTGCACGAAACAATATTAACCCTAAGACGGCAACCGTTTTTCTTTTATAAATATCAAAAAGGACGGTTTTCACGTTACTCGCAATAACGTGCCCGTATACCGGCAGCGACTTTGTGATTTTTGTTTTCCCCAAGAAAAATTTTATTTTCCGCAAAAGCTTTGAATATGTTTTTGCGGAAATATACACCAAATAAAAAATATATATATATA